CAGGTGTGTCTCAGGTAGACCCACTCCCCGGGACTGTGCGTGTCGAGGTCACTGTAGACTCTCTTACAGAGCGTCGTGAGCCTGAGTCTCGTCCTGCCTCGCATGTTCGCGCTGTTCGCACTGGTCGTATTGTTCCTCGTCAGCGTCCTCCTCCTGTCCCCGGCACTCACGTTATGGCACTTCGTCCTTCCTCTATTCCACTGCGAGTTCCCCTGTCTCCTTCTGTGTCCTCTCTTCCTGACGTTCCTGACCCTGAGTCTGACTTAGCTCGTGCTGCCAGTCCTACTGTCCCTCGTCTTCTAGCAATTGCTGTCACTTACCCTTCGTTTGAGTCCACTACTGCGTCTGCCCTAGTTGCTGAGTTTGTTGACTTTGCTGCCGCCTGTCGTCTCGACTACGCCACTAGTCTTGTTGCTGAGTCTGAGTCTGACTGTCCTCCGTCCGTTGGGGGTGAGTGTGCTCTTGGCACAAACGTCCTTGAGGACAGGCAGGAGGACTTTGAGTGTCTTGCAGCTACTGTACCTCATCTCGTGGCTATGCTGCTTGCACCTGAGGGAGACCCAGATGCACCAGACATCCCGACCCCGCACTCTTACGCAGAGGCGATTACGGGTCCCTACTCCTCTCAGTGGCAGATAGCCATGAACGCAGAGATGGCATCCTGGAAGTCCACAGGCACCTACATCGACGCAGTTCCCCCTTCTGGGGCGAACATAGTCGACGGCATGTGGATTTTCAGGGTGAAGTGGCCGCCGGGTTCTCCGCTTGTCTTCAAGGCTCGTTACGTTACAGGGCAGCCTGCACGAGGAGATCTGCTGCGCCGCCCACCTGGCTTCACTGGGTCGTTTCCTGCAGGTACCCAGTGGAGCCTCAGGCGGCAAGTCTACGGTCTCCGCCAGGCGCCTCGCGAGTGGCATGACACACTGAGGACGACACTTGCGGCTCTTGGGTTTGCTCCTTCTACTGATTAACCATCGCTGTTTCTGCGCACCGACACTTCGCTGCCGCCGTTCTACGTCCTTGTGTACGTCGACGACTTGGACTTTGCCACTGCTGACACTGAGACACTAGACTTAGTGAATTCGGAGCTGCATAAGAGACACACCTGCACTGACTTGGGTGAGCTGAGAAGCTATCTTGGCTTGCAGATCACCCGGGACAGAGCACGGCGCACCATCACCCTGACTTAGTCACACATGGTGCACCAGGTCCTTCAGCGCTTTGGCTTCCGGTACTCCTCGCCACAATCCACTCCTCTGCCTACCGATCACTAGCTCTCAGCTCCACCTTCGGACGAGTCCGTAGAGCCAAGTGGCCCGTATCCAGAGCTTGTCGGCTGCCTCATGTACCTGATGACCTGCACTTGACCTGACCTTGCCTACCCTCTTAGCATCCTGGCACGCTACGTTGCGCCCGGGAGACACCGACCAGGGCACTGGGAGGCCGCTAAGAGGGTGTTGTGCTACTTGTGTAGTACATCGGGCATGGGGCTCGTGCTTGGAGGACAGGGCCCAGTTGTCCTCACTAGACACGCAGACGCTTCTTGGGTTGACGACTTGGCTACGCAGCGGTCGTCACTGGGTTACACTTTCAGCCTTGGCTCCGGCTCTGTTTCTTGGCGGTCTACCCGCTCGTCTTCTATTTTTATTTCCAGTTGTGAGGCTGAGATCTACGCAGGGGCCATGGCTGCACAAGAGTTACGCTGGCTCACATACCTGCTGACCGACTTGGGAGAGCGGCCTCGTTCTTCTCCAGTTCTGTACATAGACAACAAGGCCATGATTGCCTTGTGTTAGGAGCACAAACTGGAGCACAGAACGAAGCACATCGCTCTGCGTTACTTCCTTGCTCGAGAGTTGCAGTAGCGTGGTCAGCTTCGTCTTGCTTACGTGGCCACTCGGGCCAACACTGCTGATATATTCACCAAGGCACTTCAGCCTAGTGATCATCAGCGATTCTGTATTGTTTTAGGCCTTGTGCCCACTTTGCCTCACTTGCTCACTGTGTGACTTTGCTTGTACTATGATCTATATATATACCTGCATGCTTACACTTGCTAGGGTATGATCACTGAACTGTTTGTTCTCTTTTATATAACTCTGCATGTGAACTGGCCTTGTGGCCATTTGCTCGTGCTCAGAATGTGTGGTGACTTCGTGATCCAACCTGAGCTTGCTTTGTTTTTCTTAACTAGTATTGTGACCACTTGTTCTCCCCCACTTTGCCTATGGGGGTGTGTCAAAATGTTATAGTGCTTACATTGTGTAGGCTGTAGTGGGGTAGCCCATAAGGGGTACAACCCAATTAGGGTTAGTACTTGTACCCAACCCATTCATAGTTCATTCATTCTCGTTCCGTATTCTGATAGGAGGTACTAGACAGCAGCAGCAGTCTCGTCGCCAAAAGACTCTCTTGCCACAGCAGCTTCGTGAGTGGGGTATTCAGCGAGGCCGTCCTGGTGATGGAGGTTATGGTGCTGGAGGTACTGGACAGAAGTGTTAGCAGGAGACCCTCTCGCCGCAGCAGCTTCGCGAGTCGGTTTCTCAGCGACGCGTCCCTGATAGTGTAGAGGCTACTAGTCTAGGTGCATGTGAGCCTGGTAGTACATGTGCAGCTTCTGTGGAGGCTTTGCACACCTTCACGCTTGACTCAGGTGCGACTCGTTGCTTCTTCCGCGACTGCACCACAGTCACACCGCTCACTACAAATTTCCCGGTCTCTCCGGCTGACCCCTCTGGGGGCCCAGTCGTAACACATGCCTCCACAGTTCTCCTGTGTTTGGCAGCCCCCTTAGGCTCTCTCACAGGTTTCCACCTCCCCTCGTTCTCTAAGAACTTGGTGAGTAACGCTATCCTCCATGACCAATTTGTCACGGTGACTACTCCTTGGGATGAGCTTGTGGCGATCTGTACGGACTCACGCACTGGCGAGCACCTCGCCACGTTCACTCGGAGGCCTGGGTCTGGCCTGTACACACTGACTACTGAGTCTGCACAGGTGGTTGCATCAGGTCAGGTGGCTGCGTCGGGTCAGTTTGCTGCGTCTTGTTCGTGTCGGCTACTCTCGCACCAGACTCTCCTCTGGCACCACCGTCTTGGTCACCCCTCCCTGCCGCACCTGCGTGGCATGCACTTGGGTCTCCTTGTCTCTGGCCTCCCCATGTCTCTGCCCCCGCTCCCGCACTCGCTCGCACGCCCGTGCTTTCCCTGCATCGATGGGCGATGTCAGAATAGTGAAGGAAGGAATGACTGAACTAGCAAGCAGGTGGGTACAAGTAGGAAACCTAAAAGTGTTGTACCCTATATGAACTACCCCACTACAGCCTAAACAGACTATAGCATATAAGTTTGACAGGCGGCAGCGCGCCGCTCCTCACTCCTCCTCGTTTCCGCTGACCACTGCACCTCTGCAGACTCTCCACATGGACGTGTGGGGCCCAGCCCGCGTCCGTGGACAGGACCAGGAGCGCTAATTTCTGCTAGTTGTTGACGACTACACGTGCTACACCACGGTCTTCCCCTTGCAGAGCAAGGCAGATGTCCGGGGTGTTTTGATCCCCTGGATCACCTCTGTTCGTCGCCAGCTGAGAGCGCGGTTTCAGAAGGACCTCCAAGTCCTGTGACTGCACTCTGACAGAGGCAGTGAGTTTTCCTCCCGCCTTCTTGAGGGTTTCTGTCGTACGGAGGGCATCGCCTAGTCGTTCACGCTTCCGGCCTCTCTGCAGAAGAATGGGATTGCCGAGCGTCGCATTGGCACCTCCATGATCCATGCGGCTGCTCCCCATTTTCTGTGGCCGTTTGCGGTACAATACGCCACGCATCAGCTCAACCTCTGGCCCCATGTCTCTGTGCCAGAGACCTCGCCTACATTGCGTTAGACGGGGGAGGTTGGCGATGCGTCGGCGTTTCGGGTCTGGGGTGCACTCTCCCTTGTCCGCGATACCACCGTTGGCAAGCTCTCTCCTTGCACTCTCTGCTACGTCTTCCTTGGCTTCCCCACTGACGCCCCGCCCTGGCAATTTTACCACCCTGCCTCGCGTCGCGTCCTGTCCTCGTAGGACGTCACCTTTGACGAGTCGGTCTGCTTCTACCGTCTCCACCCGTACGTGTCCTCCCCACTCTCCCCGCCGCCCCTCTTCTTGGTCCCAGGTCCCCCACTGGTAGACCCCCTCCCCCCACTGGGTCTTGCTCCCTCAGGTGTGTCTCAAGTCGACCCACCCCCCTTGGTTGAACCTTTGGAGGTCTCCTCGGACACCCCTGGCCCAGCTGAGGGGGGTGACCCCGCTGCTGACGACACGGCGGCCACTCACCGCTCACCGCGCTTGGAGACCCCCCTGGTTTTCCGCCTCGGCTGTCTTCGCCACCTCCGCAGCTTGTCGCTGTGGACTCTGGTGCTGCTAGGGGTGGTGACACTGAGGGTGCGGACTTTGGGGGTGCTGGTCCGCGGGTTGCTGAGTCTGGGGATGCTGGTTCTGGGGGTGCTGACTCTGGGGGTGCCGGTTCTGGTTGTGCTAACACTGGGGTTGCTGCGAGTCCTAGTGGTGGTGGAATCGTGGGTGCTCCTGTTAGAGGTCTTGGCGTTGGACAACAACAGCCGCTTAGTCGACTCGAGATACTATTGCCGCAGCAGCTTCGTGAGTGGATCGTTCGGCGAGGCGGCTCTGGTGCTGGAGCTTGGAGTTTTACAGGTCATGGAGCTTCTGGTGCTGGAGGTGCTGGAAATGCTAGTTTTGGAGGTGCTGGAGGTACTGGTGGTGCTGGAGGTGCTGGAGGTGCTGGAGGTGCTGGAGCTGCTAGTTTTGGAGGTGCTGCTGGTGCTGGAGGTGCTGAAGCTGCTAGTTCTGGAGGTGCTGCTGGTGCTGGAGGTGCTGGAGCTACTTGTGCTGGAGGTACTGCTGGTGCTGGAGGTGCTGGAGCTGTTAGTTCTGGAGGTGCTGGAGGTACTGCTAGTGATGGAGGTGCTGCTGGTGCTGGAGGTGCTGGAGGTGCTGCTGGTGCTAGAGGTGCTGGAGCTGCTAGTTCTGGAGGTGCTGCTGGTGCTGGAGGTGCTGGAGCTGCTGGTGCTGGAGTTGCTGGAGCTACTGAAGCTAGAGGCATTGGAGGTGTTGGAGCTGCTGGTGCTGGAGGTACTGGAGCTACTAGTGCTGGAGGTACTAGAGCTGGAGGTACTGGAGCTGCTGAAGCTGCTGGTGCTGGAGGTGCTGCAGGTGCTGGTGCTGGTGGTACTGGAGCTGTTGGTACTGGAGGTACTAGAGCTGTAGGTACTGGTGGTGCTGGAGCTAGAGGTGCTGGAGGTACTGGAGCTGCTGGTGCTGACGGTGCTAGAGCTGGAGGTACTGGAGGTGCTGGAGCTGGTGGTACTGGAGGTCCTGGAGTTGGGGGTGCTTGAAGTGCTAGAGCTGCTGACGGTACGGGTACTGCGCCGCGCCGACCGTTTTTCTACCTGCAGCCCCGGACGTCCCTACCACCACTTGGCTCGGCACTTCATCAGGTTCTTAGTCTTCCGTCTTCCACTAGCCTTACTCCGCCTCTCCTGTGTCCTCCGCCTGACCAGTCACAGCCGCAGTTACTGCCTGGCTCTCCACTGCCTGCTCCTTCTCCCTACCCTGCACAGACAGGCTCCCTGGCAGAGCGTCGTGAGCCTGAGTCTCGTCCTGCCTCCCCTGTTTGCACTGTCAGTCGTTCTCGTGGTTTCTCGTCCTCCACCTGTCCCCGGCATGCACACTATGGCACTTCGTCCTTCCTCTGTTCCATGGCGTGTTGCTCTGCCATCTCCCCCGGCGTCCTCTTTTCCTGACGTTCCTGACCCTGAGTCCAACCTTGCTCTTACTGCTAGTCCTACTGGCACTCGTCTCCTCGCTACTGTTGTCACTGACCCTTCCTTTGAGTCTACTGCTGCAATTGCCCCAGTCACTGAGCTAGTCGACTTTGCTGCTACCCGTCGTCTCGACTACGTTGCGAGTCTTGTTACTGAGTCTTAGTCTGTCTATCCTCCAGCCGTAGGGGGTGATCTTGCCCTTGGCTGTGACGTCCTTGAGGACAGGCATTTTGAGCTCGAGTGTCTCGCGGCCGTTTTACCCCGTTTCGCGTCCCTGCTGCTTTGCCCTGAGGGAGACCCGAATGCACTGGACATCCCCACTCCGCGCTCTTACGCAGAGGCGATTACGGGTCCTTACTCCTCTCAGTGGCAGGCAGCCATGGATGCCGAGATGGCATCGTGGAAGTCCACAGGCACCTACGTCAACGCAGTTCCCCCGTCTCGGGCAAACATAGTCGATGGCATGTGGATTTTCATAATGAAGCGGCCGTCGGGTTCTCCTCCTGCCTTCAAGGCGCGTTACGTTTCTCGAGGCTTCAGTCAGCGACAGGGGGTCGACTTCTTCCATACCTTCTCCCCCACCTCGAAGATGACTACTCTTCGGGTGTTACTACATGTTGCAGCACAGCGTGACTACGAGCTGCACTCCCTCGACTTCTCCACAGCCTTCTAGCAGGTCAGCCTTCACGAGGAGATCTAGTTGCGCTGCCCACCTGGCTTCACTGGGTCGTTTCCTGAGGGTACCCACTGGAGCCTCTGGCGGCCAGTCTACGGTCTCCGCCAGGCACCTTGCGAGTGGGACGACACACTGAGGATAACGCTTGCGGCTCTTGGGTTTGCTCCTTCGACTACTCTGCCGCCATTCTACATCATCGTGTACGTCAACGACTTGGTCTTTGCTACTGCCGACACTCAGGTGCTGACCCTTGTGAAGTCGGAGCTGCAGAAGAGACACACTTGCACTGACCTACGTGAGCTGCATAGCTATCTTGGCTTGCAGATAACCCGGGATAGAGCACGGCGCACCATCACTTTGACTCGGTCACACATGTTGCACCAGATCCTTCAGCGCTTCGGCTTTCTGTTCTCCTCGCCGCAGAGCACTCCTCTGCCTACAGGCCACTCGCTCTCAGCTCCACCTTCGGACGAGTCCGTAGAGCCGAGTGGCCCGTATCCAAAGCTTGTGGGCCGCCTCGTATACCTGATGATGTGCACACGACCTAACCTTGCGTACCCTCTCAGCATCCTTGCTTGCTTCGTCACGCCCGGGCGACACAGGAAGGAGCACCGGACAGTTGCGCAGAGGGTAGTGCGTTACTTGCGCAGTACATCGGGCATGGGGCTCGTGCTTGGAGGACGGGGTTCAGTGGTACTCACAGGACAGTCCGACACTTCTTGGGCTGATGACCAGGCGACTCAGCGGTCGTCACAGGGTTACTTTTTCAATCTCGGCTCTGGTTCTGTCTCGTGGAGGTCCACTTGTTCATCTTCTGTGCTTGGTTCCAGCTGTGAGGCCGAGATCTACGCTGGGGCCATGGCTGCACAGGAGTTACGCTGGCTGACCTACCTGCTGACCGACTTGGGTGAGCGGCCTCGTTCTCCTCCAGTTCTGTACGTCGACAACAAGGCCATGATTGCCTTGTGTCGGGAGCAGAGACTAGAGCACAAAACGAAGCACATTGCTCTGCGTTACTTTCTGGCTCAAGATTTGCAGCAGCGTAGTCAGCTGCGCCTTGCTTACGTGGCCTCTCGGGCCAACACTGCTGATGTCTTCACCAAGGCCCTTGTTCCTGGTGATCATCAGTGTTTCTGCACTGCTCTAGGCCTTGTGCCTACTCTGCCTCACCTGCTGGTTGCTTGACTCTGTCTAGTACTGTGATCTATATATCTATATACCTGCATGCTTGCTCTTGCTAGGTTCCGATCCCTGTACTGCTTGTGCTTTTATAAATCTGCATGTGAAATGGCCTGGTGGCCGCTTGTTTTTGCTCAGACTGTGTGGTGATCTTGAGATCCACCCTGAGCTTTGTTTTGCTTTGTTCTCTTGCTTGACTGGTCTTGTGACCCTCCGTTGTGTTTGCTATCCCCCACTTTGCCTATGGGGGTGTGTCGAATTGCATTTGTTATCTCTAGGCTGTACTGGGGCATACTCTAAGGAGTACAACACTTTAGGTCATTCCTAGTACTATTACTCTGTCAAACATATGTATATATATGTTATAGTTTGGGTAGGCTTAGTGGGGTACACACTGTGGGGTACAACCCCTTAGGTTTCTTCTTTGTACCAACCCTCTCGATAGTCGACATCACTTTTTGCCTACGATTCTAACATGGTATAGAGCATAGGTCCTTAGGACCTAGGATTAGGGCCCACCACGCTTGCCTGCCTTGTCTATAGCCTACGCGTGCCTCGGGCGGTCCTTTTTTTTTTTCCCACGTGCGCCGCTTCAGCAGCCCGCGCAGCCCGTTTCGGCCCCACCTGTGCGCCCCTTAAGCCGCCCGCGCGCAACCTGGTTAGGCCACGCCAGCGCGGCCCGTCGCCCAGCGCAGCCCGCAGCTTAGCGACCAGCCCGCAGCCGTGTTAGAGACTAAGGACGGAGTCTATGAAGATTAGGGGCTGAAATATCTCAAAATCGTCAACTACAATTCTGGACAGAAAAGTCGTCGTCACAAGAAACGTCGTCGACAAAAGGTCCACTGTGAGAATTCTTTCAAACTGGAGTATGTTGTAGCCCTTGACCGTGGCTATCTTTCCCCATTTGAATAGTATCAAAATATGGAGTATAACTCGAGTTATGAACTTCGGCGCACTAGGGGGTATGGTGCCATAGAAAACGTAACTCAATCACAATTATCTCACAAGTTCATGTTGGTGCAACCCTACGGTTTGCACTCGGCTTGTTGTCCGTGTGCGTGAATGTGTGTGTGTATGGAATGGTATGAGGGCATGGGATAATATATATTTCATGCTTATAATTGTGTGTGAATGTTGAGTCATGATGTCGAGTGTGTGTGTCGAGTCAATAGCGAGTTATCGCTAGACGCGTGTTACGCGGTCGTTTGTGTCTCGCGCGCGGTTTCTATTTTGTCGTGCGCGGTTTCTATTTTGTCCTGTGTCGAACGTTCGGCGTGTCGCAGGTGTGTGCAGCAGACCCATCAAGAACTCAAGGATGAGTTTGTGATGAAGAGCCCGAGCCTTGGTGTCAAGCCTCAAGTGATTTCGAAGCTCGCCAAAAAAGGGTACACCTCAAGATATTGAAGATAGTTACATTACTTTGTGTAGTGTAACATTTCACTTGGTGTAGGCCCTAGTGAAGGGTAGTTTCGAGACCCTTCGTGGTTGGGGACAGTGTGGCACTGTTCCACATCACTGTACCTCGGCTCTTGGGGTTTGTAGGAGCTGGGAGTCATTCCCAACTCGTAACTCTTCCTATCTTGTGTTCTAAGACTATAGTGGCTGCCATAGTACCGTTCGTTCAAACCGACGCTGTGTCGTCAATTCTTTATCAAATCGTGCAATCTAAATTGCTAACTGTAGACGACGTGAAGACGCTCCAGATCCAATTTGAATCAAGTCATTTGCAGCTGTGAGCAGAACGCTATCAACGTTTGAAGCCGCTGTGCAGAAATCCGTCTGTGCTCTCTATCTTTCGTTTTAGGCACATTCAAGCCTATTGTGACTATAACAAGTGGTATCAGAGCCCCTTGGAGCAGTTTCGACAATGTCTGGACCTGAGGAAAGGGGTGGCAGAGGTGCTGGTGGCAGTGGAGAAGCTCAAGCTCAAGGCCAACCCCGTGATTCAGCCATGGCGCCCATGCAACCAAGTCTTGGCCCACCTAGGGATGAGCCTAGGGTGTTTGGGCTTGACAAGTTCAACGGTGACAACTTTGCTGAATGGTCCTTCAAGATGGAGAACATCTTTGACCACTATGACCTGCTGGAGGTGATGGAAGGAACGGAGAAGCGCCCCGAGAACGACCCGGAGAAGAGCCCGTGGGTGCGGAAGAGCGCACAAGGCTATCTCTTACTTGGGCAAGCGTTGGGGAGCAGTCAGATCCGTCACATCAAGCCATTCCAGCGTGAACCAGAGAAAGGACCAAAGGCATGGGCTGCTCTCAAGGGTGTACATGCTCCTGCAACAGCGGCGGTAGCGGTGGTGTTGGAACGGCAAATGGCGGCACTACGAATTGAAGAAAACGAAGCGGTTGAAGAAGGGGTGCAGAAATTCTTCGACTTGTTGACGCGGCTTGAGGGAGCTGATTTGAACTACAGTGAGCTCCAAAAGAAGACCAAGTTGCTGGCCTTACTCCCAGAGTCATGGTCCTCGCTCATCATCAACCTTAATCGCGACTTGCCCCGCCTCTCGCTTGAAGACGTGAAGCGAGCTATCCTTCAAGAGGATTTCCGCCGCCGTGAGTTGGCGAGTGCGGATGGCGCTGGGGCAGCGAGCATCGGCCGTGGATATGGTCGAGGAAGAGGCAGAGGACGAGGGGGAGGAAGGTTTGGTGGCAGCAACTTCGGCGGAGGCCGCAGGAGTGGCGGTTACGGCAGCGACGACAAGAGCTACGGACGCGGTCGCGGCCGATTCGACGGCGAGTGTCACTATTGCCACAAGAGCGGACACATGTGGCGCGACTGCTACAAACTCCCTGATGGTTGGACCCCTGCTCAAGGCCAAGAGGGTAGAGGAGCAGGAGGAGGGAGAGGACGAGGCCGTGGAGGCCGTGGCGGTCGCGGTGGCGGAGCTGCAAACATGAAGAGCGGAGACAACGACAAGGACCCGAGCGACGATCGATACCCGGGTCTATTCTACTTCGTGTCGACGCAAGTACCGGCTGGTCCAGAGAAGGATGAAGGCTTTGAGGAGCCAGCAGCTGTGGGGAAGGTGACCCTACACCCCCTGGACTATTGGGTGATTGATAGTGGCGCTACCTATAGCATGACACCTCGCCCGGACTTGCTCACCGAACTCGAGCCGTCACCGGTGAAGCATGTCACATCGGCTTTGGGGCAGCGAGCAGAGGTGAAAGGCATGGGCAAGGCCATGTTCAAGGGTGCTGATGGGAAGATGGTGGGCCTCAAGAACGTGCTTTGGGTGCCCAGCCTTGCTGCAAACCTGATTTCCGTGCGGCGGTTGGCAAAGGCCGGCATGGACACGAACTCGAAGGGAGCCAAGTCCTACACCGCAAGGCTTGGCGATCGAATTCTTTGGGACCTTCATGAGGACAGGGATGTCTACAACGAGATGTGGCAGATCCCAGTGGTCCCTATGCCTAAGGAGAGGCAAGTGGCAGCAAGCATCAGCACCAAGGATGGAGCGGTCGGTAGCGACGATGGCGCGAACGGTCGCGCTAAGGAGAATGAGCTCAAGAAGAGCAAACCTGGAGGGACCAGCAAGTTCAGTGAACCTAAGGAGAGTGGTGCAGCAACCAAGGAGCAGCAAAAGGGTGAGGAGAACCCCGAGGCAGCAGCGGAGGAGGACTACGGAGAGAGTATGTGGGGCGCTATTACGAGCGCGGCATTCTCCAATCCAACTTCGGCTACGGGGGAGTGTGATTGGCTCACCTTGCATCGGCGCATGGGGCATGTGGCCCTGCCCATCTTGCAGCAGCTAGTGAAGAATGAGATGGTTGCTGGCATACGTGTGAAGGGGGAGCCCGATGAGGTGCTTG